CAATTAAGATGATTATTTAGCATAATTTTTACTTTTATTCTTTTATTTATGTGACTAACATGTAACATTTTTCATTCTATAATATTAAAATGTAAGTATTTATCTATTATAATTATTAATTACCTAGCATTTATATTTTCACTTGTAATCATCACATTAAAATAATTAAACTCACAAGTAATCGAAGTTCTATAAATATGAAAAGTTTTTAAAAAAAATGGTGCTCTTTTTTTTTAAAAAAAAATCATTTTTAGCCGTTTTAGCACCTGCATTGAATAAAAAAATGTTTTACAAAAAAAAAAAAAGTTACCAAACAATTTTAGATTCTAAAAATGCTTGAGAAAAAAAAATTTACTAAACAATTTTAACTTCTAAAAACAAAATTTTTACAACAAATTCTCTTAAACAAAATTTCTAGCAAAAGTTCCAGTTATACCAAATGAACTCTTATACTACAAGCTGATTTGGTTACTTGTTATGAGAATTAGAAAGACGTTTACAGCCCTTAACTCAAGAATGTATCAGTAGATATAAGAAAAAGAGCTATCATCCCTTAGGCATATTTAGTTTGAAGAGAAGAGAGAAAAGAGAAATAGAAACATATGATTTTGAGGGGAGGGGAGGGGAGGGGAGGGGAGTGGAATGAAAGGTATCTCTTTCTTTCGTTTAAATAAGTTAAAAAAATTCAAAGATTTAAAAGAAGGAAATAAAATAAAAAATTTTATCCCTCCTCTTCTTTCTCTTTCTTCAAACTAAACATGTCTTATTTTTAATTAAAGTTTAAAACCCGACTTAGTGATCGACTCATTTTTAACACCAGGTTTGGTTCAATTGGTTCAATTAATTTAATCGGTTCAATCGGTTGATTCAACCACTTAACTAAAAACTTAATTTTTTTTAATATTTTGCATATTTTATTACAATATATTGATATTAACTAATTTTTAAGAAATAATTACTTTAAAAATAACTTATAAATCACCCAAGAAAAAACTTAAAAAGTTGAATTTAATTAAATGCATGCAATTTAAAAGATAAAATGCAT